CAGCCAAAGACCATCCAAATTACGCTGCACGTTTCGCTTTACATAAACATTGTCACGTATTTCCTCTTACTTTTGCTGTTTGGCTTCCACCACGATAAAATCACACTTCATGTAGAGCTCTCTCTAAATCGATAATCAAAACCCACCCCTACTTCTTACCCATCAGTCTACGGTGTCGGCCGCCGGTTTTTTGTTTGTTTTTTTACTTACTTCCAATAAGAAAGCCTCATTTCTGCTGTTCAATACTGAACAAATTTAAACTTTTTATGCAAAATGCTTACGTGTGTCTCTAATCAAACCTCTGTAACTTTGCTCTGCTTCACTTTGTTATTGTAGCGGGTCAGGGCTGTTTGGGGTTTTGTTTTGACAGCTATGTTCTGTTGTTCCAGGCAGCAGCGTTATGTTGCCATGGTTACAGGTGATGCTTTCTCTCTGCAACTGTGTGTTTCTGGATGGAGAGAGCGCCTTTTTTGGTTGTTACGCTAGAGCTGCGCCGAGCAGTTGTGTTAGCGTTGTGTGTTCATCTGTTAAATGCTAATAAACGGCTGTGCTCGATGGCTAACACTGCAGGAAGCAAGACTAGACGTTACCTCTGTCTCCTCCTTGTCTGAGCTCGCCACAATATTTTTAAGGTCATCTACTATAAAAACCCAGACCAGGAAAACCTCCTTCATGTTTTTCTGTGTTTTATCCTCAGTTACTTCGACACAAAGGAATCTGCTGTGATGCTTACACCTTTGATAAAGCCTCGCAAGTGTCAGCTTTCTTTTAATAGATACAAAAATATAGATATGTACTGATAAGTGATCAGAATTATAATATTTCTGACTGTCTGAGTCAAAAATTTCCCCGATTCAAATCGAATCGATCGAATCATGGATCGAATCGATTCGGGACCTTGTGAATCTGAATCGAAAAGATTCTAGAAATCAGTGACGATACCCAGCCCTAGTTATTACCCATATAGTATGAAAGATAATGTCACAGCTAGCCAATGTAAAATACTTATTTATTAGACACTTTTTAAAAATAATTACATAACAATTATAAAGTAAAAAATAAAAAACAAAAAAAATAAAACATGACATACAGTAGATAACAAATGATGTACAGACCACTGAGTTTCAATGCAAAGTGCATTAACAGAACAATCTGTAGTGGAGAAAGCAGGAAACAGCATGTTTCAGAATTCATAACAGCAGTATTTATTTTTTGAAGAGGGGCCATATAGGATTTTTAGGATATATTTAAAGGGTAGATGTTGATGAATATAATATTTCATGTTAAAACTTTAAAAATGTACCATATGGTTGGAACACAGGTTTTTGCCAATATTTTACACAGGTATAAAACAGCTTTCAGTATCATTCTCCATGCAGGTGTATGACTTTAAGGTGTCCTCTGAAAATGACAAATAAAATACTTTCCCAATTCTGCAGGGGCCCTAATATGACTGGAATGCAATATGCACTTTATAAATAATGACTGTGTAATGACTGCACAAAGGTCAGTCAGTTACTGAAGGTTCAGCTCTAATGATCAAAATGGCTGCAGTCATGTTATAAATTAAAACATGACGCAATATATAAATTTTAAAAACATATTCTTTAATAAATACCTTTCTTAGAATGAAAAAAAGTGCTTAAAAGGTTTGCAAATTGCAATGATTAAAATGACTACGTGAAATGGATTTATATGTCTAGCATGGTAACATCCCACAATCACCTTTATGTCAGTCCTGACAGCAAAATTAACATGAACAAATGTGACTTCGTCAAAATCAAAATAATCAGAGTCATATTTTTATGGTGATATCATGCACAGACACAAAAATTATAAAATAAAATGATGTTGGTTCAATTCACACAGCTTTAAAAAAAAAATTCAGTCCTTGACGCCCTATCAAATCAACACAACACACAGAGCAGAAAAGCTTACACATTATAACCACAAATTTCAGGAGCAGTTATTTAAAATCAACAAAATAATGGATCTGAAACATTATTTGAAGGAAACTGGTGCTCACAATGATCTATGCCACATCAGCTAAACCAGTAGGGAGCAACTACCTGGTGTCACTCTTGATAAAGTACATCAGTAAAAGAAGGAAGGATGTGTGTGATGGCACCTATATAAATCTACACAGATGCATACATTAGTTTATTTGGAGTACATGCCCTAAATTAAAGGCTTATTCGCTCTCTTTTTTTTTAAACTCTTGTCTAACTTTTGACTGGAATGGTCATAACCACAGCTAAGACTAGTTTTCACAACAAAACAATGTAGGAAAAAAAAGATATATTGGTGAATAGTTGACAAAACTTATTTAATGTGCTCAGTATGATCATCGCTAAATAAATAAACAACAACATAACACAAAAACAGTTAAGCTACCACAGTGCATTTTGTCTTTCTTTGACCTCAACATTTACATTCTTGATTGTGCCGCTGTGGTTTTCTCAGCCACGAGAAAGACAAAAGCAGCGCGTACTTATCTGAGGTTTTTCAATGAGGTTTTCTCAGTAATCATTTTGAGTCCTTACATTTTTGTCTGTTTTAATTACAAACGTGTTCATGTTCTACCACATTCTGCTAAGAAAAGATAAAGTTGAGCACTGCAAAGGGCAGTCACTGGAACAAATAGAGGCAGATTAAGTGGGAATGGAGTGACATTACCATACTAAAGAGATGCACTGTAACTGGTAATACAAATTGTGTGCATAATCTCAGAGTTGCTAACCTCTTATAATGTTTAGGTTAATCTATAACTGTCATGCAGGTTACAAGAATTTACTGAGCCAGTATTTTCAGTCACAATATAGACATGGGTGCCATCACTTTGGGCATCACTCAATGCCACTGTATATGCACTTGCCTTAATCATTCCCTTACAACCTTTGAAAAACCAAAATGTACCAAATAAAAAGGGGAAATTACATTACACATTAGATCTTGACGAATTAAGTATTCAAGTAAAACAATCTTTACTGACGTACATTGTGTAGTTTTTTCAGAACAAAACAACCTAACAACAATCAGTAAAAACCAAATTCATTAACCCTCTGGGGGCTGGATTCAAAAATCACAGCAAAGATCATAGTTACAATCATTCAAGTGTTCCCTTAATTGTCTTAGCACTATCCGGTCGTTCAGTCTGACGTCACTAGCCGTGTCTGGGTCTAAACTCCGCTGAAGGTCCATATATCAAACGATCACTATGGCATTACTGAGAGTTGAAAAACTGTCTAAAGTCTTTCATCTTTAATAAAATGATCAGCGTTCTGCTCTACCAGGTGTAACAATTGAGTTTAACATCCAGGCATCCATGAAAACGGAATTTATGACATTTAGCGGAGTTAGAAGTTAGCAGGGAGTTAGCTCGCTAGCTTCTATCTAAATACAATATAGCATGTCCTGACTGCGGGGTTTTGGAAACAAATTAAAACGTACAGCTCTGCTATCACTTCCAGCATAAATGAAGACAGAAAACTAAACAGCAGTGACGTTTGTAGGGTTACTGAAGTTGGGCTAGCTGGTATATAATGATGTGCTACGTGACAGCTAGCGACATAGCTATGTTAGCATAATATAAACAAGCTAACTTATTTTCCACTCGATAAAAGTTAACGTGAGTGTTCTCGGTGGTCAGGAACAAATGTAATCGCATGGCAGGATGCTGTAAAAGGACCAAACTTCAGCCAGGAGAACAACTGAGATAATCCATCCACAATACGAGGTTAGTCATTCATATACTGCTGCATGGGCTGGGCTGTATTTACATCCTAAGGTTTTAAAAACTGAGCTTAAATAAATGATTAGCGATAATAAAAGCCGAGGGAGGTCAACAGTGATCACTGACTGTTTTAGGAGCTTTTTGAGATCAAATAGAAGAAAATACATAACATTAAACATGTTAACAACACAAAAGCCATATTAAACGCAGACTACTTTAGACCCGGAAGTAGGATTCGTCGCGTCATCACTGAACAACCGGATATAGTATATATAAATTAGTAGTCATTTTGGTACTTAACAATATTTATTAAACTAATAAATACAACATTAAGAAATTAATGAAAAATAATTTACCACATTTCCTTCATTTTAGCAAAGTGTGAGAGAAGCTGTGCTTTTCTCTTTGCTGCGTTACTGTGAAATTGTTTTTAATTAATTAGAGCACAACTTTTCATTTTATTAAAATGCACTAAAAGCTTTGCAGCATGTGACGTTAACAAACAAAATGCCAAAAGACAAGCTGGCACAGACAGCACCGTCAACTGCACTTTTCTGTCATCAGCTGACTTTGCCAAATCAAAACTAATACACAGAGCACTGCAAACAAACCAACCAAGCAAACCTACTGGTGTAGGAATCATGAAATGCCTCCACTTACCCTTTACTGTTGGCTCCCTGCATGCTTTGTTAGTTCTTGCTATTAAAATGAAGCTATAGTGGGTGTTGGTGGCCAAAGATTGTATATTAAAAGGGCGATCGTGGCTCAAGAGTTGGGAGCTCGCCTTGTAATCAGAAGGTTGCCGGTCTCGGTCATTGTGTCCTTGGGCAAGACACTTCACCCGTTGCCTACTGGTGGTGGTCAGAGGGCCAGAGAAATCAGATTTTATGGAAGTAAAATAACCCTACTTTTCTACTGACTTATGACCACCGTAAACACTTTACTAATGAGTTTATGCTTTCAGTCATCTTATGTAATACTAAATTATGTTCACTTTGGAAACTGCAGTCGCATTCAGGGTAAAACTAGGGAAAAAGCAGGTTACTGTAAGAGCACTGTTGTGTATGTAATGACTAAGTGTCACAACCACCACTCGTTTGCCAGTTTAAAAAAAAAAAAAAAAGAAAAGAAAGAAATAATACTTGAAGTACCCAACATCAGGCTTCAAAACAGGTGCCCAAAAACCACGATGTTCTATATAATTGTGTGAATGTGTGAATGACTGAATGTAGTGTAAAGCGCTTTGGGGTCCTTAAGGACTAGAAAAGCGCTATACAAATGCAGGCAGGCCATTTTACTATAGTCTATGTTACGTATTAAATATTCCTATAGTAAACAGAGCAACACAGAACTGAAGTGAACACAGTGACCCCATTTACCCACCAATCCAATCCAGCTATTAGTTAGTTGCGCTGATATATGACACAAAAATCAGATGTGATGTACTGCATGGGAAAAGCAGCATCATCACTTAAACTGCCTTTTACAGCAGGCTTCCTTTAAAATAACTCTTTTCTGTCTGTTTTTCAGTAAGTGGCTGTCTAACTGAATCATTTGTTATTTGTATGTATGGCTTTTAGTGTATTACTGTAAAGCAATTGCTATAACCCTCAGTCCAAATTTTTTTCTGGGAATCAAGTCAACATTTTACAAACTTAATTTGTTCCCTCGTGCTTATTCAAGGCTGCTTCTTTTGGTCAGAATGGATCTAACTGGTGAAACCTGGAAGGAATATACACTAGATTTTTTTTTTTGAAAAAAGTGTGGCTAGCATTTTGTACACTCGGTGTACAGTTAACAACAGCTCCAAATATAGAAAAGAATGCTTCATCAGATGGGCTTATAAAGCAAGGTGGTGACATATTTCTTCTTATAGCGATGTGTTGCACTGAGTACCATCACTCCGTCCTGTGACAGAAAGACACAACACACAGGAAAAGTCAATTTAAAACCTCACGCAATGCATGCTTTCAACTAGGATGGAAACAGTAGCACCAGTCTTACCATGTACAGTTCCACCATGCTATAAGCCAGTATGGTTAAACTGTAATTGGTAGGGCTATGGCTTTTTTAAGACACACATGAAACCAGAATTGCAGCATCATGGTTGCAGGCCTCCTCCTACCAGTCAAGTAGCAGTTCACACCCAAGTCTGTTCAGACTCACATATAAATGTAGATGAAGAAAAAAAAAATGAAAGAAGAAAATACTGGCAACCGCCAGCCTCCTGGTAGACACATCTATGGTATTGATTTCAAAATCCTACGTCACCTTGTTCTGAAGTTTCTCGTATTAACAGTGTTGGGTTTATCTTGGCACAAACCCCGCTGGAACGCGAGACCAACAACTGCACGACAAACAAGGCAAGAAGGTACTGTCCGTGTTTGTGGCTTGCAAGGGAAGCCAGCCAAAGTTGAGGAAAAGATTCCTTCACCTGAACTCAACCAACTTCAACTGATTCCTTCGCTAGAGCCCTTTTTATTGTCAGCAAGCAATCATTCATGAATATGCAATTACAAATACACGTGACATTCTTAAGCAGGCATATCTGAACAACTAGTGATGGGATTTCCGGCTCTTTTTAGAGAACCAGCTCTTTCCGTTCGGCTCACTGAAAAGAGCCGGCTCTTTTGGCTCCGAACTGGCTCTTCAGGTTGATTTGTTGCTTTAATTAATTTATTATTAACAATAATATAAAATTATGCACAAAAGGAATTACTAATTACCTGCATGAATAAACTTTCTGAATCCTTTATCATCTGCAACTGAAAATAGGATTACTATACCTTTCTAATGTGAGGTTGTTGTCCCTGGCTCTTTCTCTGTCTTTTACATTTTACATTGTACATTTGTTCCATATTTAGAAAGTAATTCTGTAAACACTTTCTTGCTTTTAAAAACAGAATTTCCTTTTTATTTTCAAATTCTTAACATGGATAATGATGGTAACATTTCTTGGTTTACTTCAACAAGCTTCTTGGAAAAAAAATCATATAAATCAGCCCAATGTTGGAGGTACAATTGAAAATGTCACTGAAAAAACATTAACGTTAGAGAGGTGTAATGAACTAAAAACATGAGCATATAAAAACATTGTGCCAAAATAGAAAAGAATGTTACATAAAGTCAATAACTTGCTCAAATGGCTTTTTTCTTTCCAGTTGTTAGAAGTTTACCTTTGGTAATGATAACTTTTGAAGCAATTTCTTTCCTCTGTGAAACAAAGACGTGCATCACATTTTTCACAGAGGGTGGTAGTTGCATTCACCTTGCAATTTTTGCACCGACCTCGCTTTTCACATTTTACAGGCCAATGTGCAACCTCATCAGTCCGGACATCCTCTGGAACTCCAACACGAACTCTCTTGGGTGGTGGAG